ATCGACATAAAATAATCTTTTAAATGGGATTGAATTTGGTTGATATTGACAGAAATATCGGGTTCAATTGGCCGTTGATGTTTCGGAATTGGAGGATGGTGTTTTGTCACAATACGATCTAAAATATTATATCTTGATCATTTATGAACCTATGTTTATGGGCAATCGGCATATCTCATGGAACCATTGTCCCTTCACCAAACGTAAACGTCCGTATTGATACATTTAAAATTAAAATAACTGGTCTTATTTCTTTTAAATCGGCACAGAAACACTGACATATTCTAGTATAGATACATACGAGTACGTTTAAACTTAAAATAATTAGTCTTGTTTATTTTAAATCGGCAAATCAAACCCCGGCAAATTCTAGTATAGATACATACGAGTATTCAGTTCCAACAAATTTGGCACATAGTTTTAAAGTCAGAAATATTCTAGATAACTTAGTTTCAAAGTCAGAAATATTCGAGAGAGCTTAGTTTCAAAGTCAAAAAGGTTCAAGGGAGGTTATGTATATGTAATGATAGACACCCCTTACTTTAAATTAAAACGGTATAAGCGTATTTTTTTTAAAGAGAGAATTTAGTCTTAATCTTGTGTTTTCTAGCAGTCTACAGTTGAATAAAGTAATTTGTCAGGGTTCGTCTGGTTGACCAAGAAGATCAAGTGATTCTCTACGGATTATTATTGGATCTGCAAATGCCAATCTTTCCTTTGATAGAGGTCGATATCAAATTACTTTTAACCTGAAAGATGAAGGGGAAAAAACCGTCAGGGACTAATTATTTACTTAAAATGCGATCTATTTCAAATTAATATAAATCAAGCCCTGGTACACGACTGGAGAATCCAGACTAAGCAACTTTCACAACTATTACTAGGGAGATTATGTCCACTTGCACCTATTTTGATATTGACTTTTGAACCCTTTAAATGGAAAACCAGAAGGGGTTAGAATGTGACGCGGGTTCACTCGGGACCCGGTTTAACTCGGAAGCTTGTGCATGGGACTAAAGTTAGGTATCTGTGTTTATATGGAACCCATTTTATATAAGCCTAGACTCGATTCACCGTGGTGCTTAATTCTTGATTCCATTGTTTATATTGTACACTTCGCTAGAGAGTTTCCTACTTACTATTTAATTATATATTTTGTCGCTTTTACGTATTATTATTAGATCCACACATATCTACTATATTGTATATCATGTAGGCCTATGCTAACCATTTTACTTGCATAAATTTCATGGTCAGGGTCGTATTTTGTGTAAATGAAAACCAGGGTACCGAGCTAAGCCGGGTACCCAGTAAAACTTGGTCAGGACTAGTTGTCACCCATCGTTCCCCACCCCACCCATCTTACCATAAACATAAGTATAATTATTGATAATATGATAAACATTTAACTACTTATTTACAAGAACCCGACTATATCTGGGGTTTGGTAAAAAAAAATAAACACTATTATATTTTTAAAATATCTTTTATGGAATATACATCGTTGATGAAGGGGCCCCTCTTTCGATTTTGCTTACTCAATTGAAACGCTGGATCAATGAATAATAAAAGAATCATATTGCCTAGAAGATATCTCCAATAAAATATCGAGTAATACAAATATACCAAACTCACTGAAGGATTTAATGTCCGTGGTCAATCGAATATGACGTTTCGTTTAACCTATATTCCTTTCAGATTATCAGTCAGACCTTGTATAGATCGTGGATTATGAGTATCCGGGGAGTCATTACGGTCATGTGACTGTAATTGTATTGTTGGAATATTGGAAACTAACTTTTATTACCTACACTATAAGTCACTATGGACACTAGGGACAAACTACAAGTTACAGCTAATTACTGTGCTTATAGCACAGCTTTTGTTCTTATTGTTCCAGTGTGTTAAGGTTTCATCAGTTGCTTGAGTGATTCGTTCACTTCCAAAGACCTGTTAATCGAATTCTGTCATTTTAAGAATGGGTTTTTATAACGCGCTCCAAGTTGTTGCTTTTATATATATATATCAGACAATAGAAGTAATCAATTGGCCTTTTAAGATTTCATCCTGAAAAGCCGATGCACAAAAGAACTGGAAAACAGGGGTGTACACAACCGATGAGTTGAACGACAATTTATATTATTTTTTTTATTTTTTAAGTTTTAATAATGATATAATATATAAACATTTGGTTGTGCATGAGGTAAGGTGTATGATTTATCGTTTCCAACATATATCATCTTTTTTCAATTCGGATTTCTTTCTCCAATTAGATTGTCGAAATCGTCCATAGCATACTGTTTTCGGCTAACGAATATGTCCGACTGTACTGCTTATATTTATATTGAATTTCTAAGGCGATCAGTTCAAGGAATCCTAACCGTTACCCCGAACGTACATTATATAGAGTTCTGTGGTACCGTTTCCCTATAATATTCACTAACAGACTAGACAAGAAAGTCAAATTAAACCGGAATTCAATATCATTTCCAGTCTTGTGATTATGTATATCGCTTTTTCATCAATATTAATGAGGGACAATCAACACCGCAATAAGATGAACGTTCACGAATTTGTAACCAAGTTCTCAGACAGTCTATTAAGTAGCGCCTTATAAAAATGTCACCAAGATGATTGATAGTATACATTCCCGATCACAAAACGAATTTGCCGCTGATATTTCTATTAGTATGAATAACGTTTGGTTCTGGCGTATGACTCCTCGATTACCAGAAAACACAGGACATGGAAATAGAAATGAATTGGATTTTCTGATAGGTCACCGTTTATTCTATATATAGGTCTATATATAATGCAAAGGTGGCATTAATTCTCAAAATTATTCCAGTTTGGAATGGTGATAGAAACCGATATTGTGAACTTTAACCTCATTCCTCCGAGGAGTGTTAAAACAAGGTGCGATCAATTATAATCAGTATTCAAAATACAAATTTCAGTATGGAGTAATTAAGTCGACAAGTGGACTCTCTATATTGAGCATGTTACTAGTTTTTGAAAAAAGGTAGGCATGCAACCGCTTTAGTAGTTAATAGACCAAAAGTAATATACATAGAAAAGCATCTCATCACCTTTAGGAGGGCACAAGAAGGGACTTATGCTTAATTAGTTATATTATAGACACCCTACTGTAAGTTAATAATATGTTATTAAGGGCGTGTATTCAGTGCCTCATTCTAACCTGACCATCTTTATTTATGGTATGGTGTTTCGGTATTTGTATTCTTGGAAGTTGAAAATCAAGTTTATGCATTACTATATTCATATGGTGTAACAATGGGGTTTGAATTTAAAATTTGAACGAACAGAAAATGAATTGAAATAAAAGATGGCTTAACACAAGATTGTCAGCTCACGTGTTAGTGGCTTCCATTAATAAATTATTTAGTGAATATTATTGATTATTATTTGTTAAATATTGACGGACATTAAAATATATCTACTATCATCTTGAACCACAGATAAACAGAAATGGCGATTCTACCCGTACCCCCACTCGCCTTTATTTTCAGTCTTATTTTTTAAGTCTTAATATAGTGAGTGAGTCACATTTAACTTAATCAAAACTTTGTTTGCGATATTACAGAACAAATTGGAACTATCGTTAAATCGTTAATAGAATGGCCATAAAAAGTCGTAACAAAAAATCTAGACAAGATAAAATTCCATTTCATTTCTATAAAATGGTACAAATTCTGAAAGTAATCATACAAGACAATATCATGACCATATTCACGTCTAAATGATCAAAATGGAGTCAAATGTTATATAACATAACCCTTTTAGCTCCAATAGTGATCGCTTAAGCCATTAAATACATAGTTTATAGCAGAGATGTCAGCTTCACGAACTCCCTGACTTCGGATACAAATTAAGTCAGACTCTATAGTATTTCAACACAACTGGCTAAAAGCCCGTAGAATCCAAACTTATTCTTATCTGACCGTTAAATGAAGAATTATCCATAATCAATAATGTCGTTCTGAATAGGGGCATACGGGGTGTTTCAGCTAAAACACAATCTTTTCCAGAAAATATCAATTATTCAAAAAGCAACATATTTCTTTTCAATGGAACTCTAGTGTTTCAAGAAGTTCTTAACAAAATATCGAAGACTTCATATCCATTAGCGAACGATATGTGATTGGCGGATTGCCTCTTAACTTGCTCAAACTATCTGTAAGTGGGTATAAATAAACTATTATTTAGTCGGGAGATGACTATATCAATTTAATCCATTTCTAAATAACATCTCTACCCAAGCACGACAAAACATATGATATTGGAAGGAAAATAAGATCGAACCATTTGCTATGAAATACATTTTCTTCATTGTGTAAGCAATATGAAAATGAGCAATCCAATTTGGCTAATAGTGTAGTCGAATGGCTTATAAAAGTCGTCCACTTAGTAGTCGGGGAAAGCTACATGTATTAAATCATATTAAAAATTGATATATTTAAAAGCCCTGATTGAGACAAATAAGATTTCTGGTTAGGTACAGGTAGGATTAGATACCAAAATACTCTTTTTAATAATGTAGTCCACATAACGTATATGTGCGTCGAGGCTAGTAAATACCATTTGAAGTACAGGAGATTAAATATAGTTTTACACAAAAATGATCTTACAAATTAATAACAAGTTAACAAAAGGGGTATCTGCTGCATGGGAATGATTAAGTATGGACAGCTTCGTGCAAGAGAAGTGACATTTACGCCACGTAACCATAGTAATCATGAATCGACGGGTTCATTGCGAATAATTAGTATAAAATAAATACGATCTTTGATTTTGGGTAAGCAAAATGTTATAATTGGACTGGAAATACACAGGAAGTAATTCTATGGAATACAATTACTTCTCTAGCCCTTATCAAACATCTCAGTGATTGTATGCAATAGAATTGTACCCTGCGAGCAAAAGGGATAGCAACAGTTCAAACAAACAAAGGTGTGAAATTACAATCAATATGGCCTTACCTTTTTGAAGGTGAAGAATTGTTGGCCGGAGTAATGATCTACAGGTTTAGTTTTATAATAGGAATCATCGTGTTCGGTACCGCTATCAAACGATAAACTTCCTTTTTTATCAAAATGATTGTCTTTTAATATATGGTTCATGTTTGTCTTCTCCTCAGTAGGTACCGTGACTTCGTCCTCTGGAACGCTATGCCACAACTGTTTTTCGGTGTTGCGCACCTCGCCCTGTTCTTGTACGCACACAGTTTGTCCGTTTCGACGCTGATTGTCTGCGCGTCGGATATATAGTATCACAGCAACTATTATAATAGAGAGAATAACTGTTATTCCGGCTACGACACCGGCGATGATTATGAATCGAAAGTCTTCTTTCCCATGGACACCAGCCAAAGTAGAGTTTACGTAAACAATGTGGACGGTAAGATGCGTTTGTGATGCTTGTTGCCTCTGACCCTGATCTTGTACCGATATTCTTAAATAATAATCCTCGCGTTTCTCGTCTGGCATGATTCGTCTAGCGAGTACGAGATTTCCGGTTTTGGAACCGATATGGAAGATGTTGTCCTCATTACCCCCGTTAATGTAAAATGAAAGTTTGGCGTTGTCACCCTCGTCGTTGTCGGACGCAACGACTCTTGTTATCGGAATTCCCGGTTCCGTATCAGATGTGATAGTGATTGTATTATTATTGTCGTTAGGGAATACTATGATCGGACTATGATCATTCGCATCCATGACGTATACAGTGACTTTCGCTGTAGTGTTTCGTGGGGGATTTCCCTTATCTTTGGCAATGATATTAAAGGAGTACCGTTTTTCCTTTTCATAGTCTAAAGTTTTTTCAGTTCGTATTACACCATTCGAAAACACAGCAAAAGGGACTTTATTATTGTCAACTATAATCATGTACTCTACATCAGCATTTTTACCAAAATCATCATCTGTTGCTGCAAGTAGCCCTACGACACTCCCGGGCTTTTCGTCTTCGTTGATAGAAAAAACTAAAAAGGAGGGATCAAATTTGGGACTGTTATCATTTTGATCTCGTATTCTCACAACCACTTCGGCTGTTCCTGTCATGGGTTCTTTGCCTTCGTCAACAGCTCTAACCGTAAATTTCATCTCTGACATGGTTTCACGATCAAAACGAGCATTAGCAATGATCTCTCCGGTGTTTTGGTTGATATCGAACATAGAATCATCGTCTAGATTTAAATAGTAAAGAACCATAGCGTTTTTTCCCAGGTCGTCATCTGTGGCTGCCACACGAATAATAGGTTGACCAATTACATTATTTTCTTCAACGATTGTCTCAAACACTCGCTTAGTAAACACTGGTGGGTTGTCATTCTCGTCTGTAAGTTTAACTTGAAACTTGGCTCGCGCTGACATCCTGGGAATTCCCGTATCCTGACAGACAACGGTGATATTATGTTCATCGATTCTCTCTCGATTTAAAGACCTTTTTACTTGTACGATGTAACCCCGGCCTTCCAGTCTGTGTACCGAGAAATAGTCATGAGAACATCGACAACTAACTATACCATTGGGTCCTTGGTCTTTATCCACTATATTGACGTGGGCGATTACAGTTCCAATTCTAGCACCTTCCGACAATAGAATCATATCTCCGACACCAGATGAGACCGGGTTGATTGTAATAAGCGGTGGGTTATTTCCAACATCTAATATTCTAAGGGACAATATGGCCTGAGAGACTTGTGGAGGGTTGCCTTGATCTGAAGCTTCTATGATTGTCTCAAATTTATTTCCAGATTGATATTGTAACTCATTGCGAACACTAATGTCACCGTTTTCTGGATTTAAGGCAAAGAGTTCCTCTACCTCCGGACTTTTATGTGGGCTAAACCGGTAGGTGACTTTCCCATTCGCCCCACCATCCCTATCCATGGCATGAATTTTGCCAATTACGGAATAAACAGGAGTATTTTCAGTTACAGATACGTCATAAATGTTCTCACTGAATACCGGGGCGTTGTCGTTTTCATCCGTAACATTGATGTTGACCGTGACGTTTCCTGATAAAGGCGGTGTTCCGCCATCTTTGGCAATGATGAAAAATCGATAATAATCCTTTTTCTCGCGATCAATGACGCTTTTCACAACGATACGAACATCTGACGTGCCATCTAATTTCTTATCTACTTTAATATCGAATAAATTTGCACTTGAAATCATTTCGTAAGACTGGACGGAATTATTTGCCCCGCGATCTCGATCGGTAGCGCCCTCTATACGATAAAGAGAACCTGGGTTGACATTTTCTTGAATAAACACAGTTATTTCTCCTTCGGGGAATTTGGGAGCATTGTCATTGATGTCAATTATCACAACCTTTACTGTCACGATTTCAAAGAATGACGTCATTTCCGATCTGATTGTAACGTCAAAACTAAGGATGCAATCGGAAGTAAACTCGCAGACTTTTTCCCGGTCAATCATGGCCGTGGTGAATACGTCTCCAGTCTCAGAATTGACGTTAAAAAGAGAGACAATGTGGATGTCATTGGGATTCAAAAAACTATAGCGAAGGCTTTGAAATTCGTCTCGTGTAAGGCCTCTTGCAATGCTGGTGTCAGTTGCTATATTTCCGACTAAGGTGCCCGAGGGTTTAGATTCAGTTAAGCGAAATGTTACTTGCATCTGTTGGGCGAGAGACAAGGCACAAATGGAAATTGCTAGCAGGAGAAACCGTAGCAAACCTGGCCGCCTTTCCATTTTTAATGTGATTTCTTTTTGTTCACTCTTCTTCTCAGTCGTTTTTAGTCTTTCCAAGAATCAATCACTGGTTATCGTTACTAATCCATTACTCTGACACAATCTGAAAGACAAAAAAATATCAAATTACCAATTAGACAATTGTAGCCAGGTCAACAACTAGTAATTTGTCACACAACATATCAAGGCTGTCAAGTTACATACATCATGAAACGTAGCCCATCCACACAAATTAATCACATTTTTTCACCATTTTTTTCGCTGGCTTTCAATTGATGATGACTGCAAGTAGTGTCGGTTCGGTTTAATTTGATTTTGATGTATGTTTCACAAGTCAGCGCCATTTCATAATGCTATGTGGATTCGCAGGAATTATCCTAGCAACAAAGTCGAGCATATTTCTTTTGTTAATTTCAGCTTTCCATATCAGTTCGATTTAAGAGAAATCAAATAAACACACGATACATGTCGATGGATAATATTCTTCAAAGCTTAAATAATTCGATTATTGGTTAAGGTTTTATTGGTGTTGTTGGATTTAAAGACTATGGGTCGCACTTACGCGATACAATATGTCTTAATACAGACAATTTTTCCTAGCATTGGGTTAATTGAATAAAGCGAGGTAGCCATTGAGACTAATAAAATAACGTGTTGGGCTAACATTGTCAGCAAAACTAATCAATAGCATTGATAATTACATCGAAGTGTCATAAATAATGCCAATATCATTTACTTAATGAAATCTACAAGGCTAAGGACATGACTATCTCCGTCTTATCTACATGGGGTCGCCATTGTTCTTGTCCAGTTTTTCTAATGTACTTCACGATGGGATAGGACCAAGACTTCAGCACTGAAATATACTATATCGTGTTTGGTACATGGTGCCGCCTTTGTTCTTGTCTAGGTTTCTTATGTACATCGTCTGCGTTGAATGGACGTTAAACCCTTAACAGATATCATTGCTTTAAATCGTACTATATCAGCCCCAGAATCAGTTTAGTATTACACAAAACGCGTTTCATCGCGTAAGAAACACCATCTAATTGCTAGAATATATCTTTTAATCTGTAAGTCCAGGCTAAATTTTCACATAGTATAGATTTAAATATCTCGAAATTTAAATATATTGACATGGTAAAGATTTAAATATCTTCACATGGTAACGATTTAAATTATCATGGTAATTATCAAGATTAAAAATATTATTAAATTATCTTCACATGGTAAAGATTTAAATATTTCCAATGCTAAAAATTTAAATGCTATATATCAGGTTATTGTCAAGTTCTTCTAATGAACTAACAATAATTCAATTTTCAGCCATCAAGAATAGAACAGTCTGTCCCTTATGACCAAGAATTGTGTTTTCCAGGCAAAAAATGACGTTCATTGAGGGATTTATAATAAAGAAAGGAGAGAATACGTTAACTCAATTTCCGAGTTACTGTCAGTATTCCGTGACTAGGTTGGGAAAAATCCGTCACTGAGAATGTGTTTTTAGATTTATTTTCTATTCATTTTTTGAGAAGACAATGTTTTACATTTTTTTTTATTCAAGACCGGCTTTCATACAGCTCAGAATTGTTTTAATTATTTTTCTCCTTTGTTGCATTGACATGGCTTTTAGTGCATTAGGCAAACACTTTTTGCAGAAAAATCATTAGATAATGTATATTTATCCTACAAATTAAAAATAAAATCCACATCTAATGGTATAAAGATATGTCATAGTTATATACCGGGAACCAATTATTAGTACAGTAAAATGAATCACATCATTAGGTATTCCACAAAGATTTTATAGCCTGGAGGTCGGGTGTTCGATCCCTTCATTGGCCGAGAAAGTTCATTCAGATTTTCTGGCGTGGTTTCCCCTTGTCAGTGATGCAGGATGGAGGGCCTGACAAGGACAGATGTCTAGTCGTTCGGATGGGACGAAAAACCGAGGTCCCGTGTACTCATTGGCGTGCACGTAAAAGATCCCTTGGCAGTTGGAATTCGATATAAGAGTAGACCGTAGCGCTGCTGCCCGGGCAAAATTTCCCTCATAGCACACTGTATGGTGTATGCCCGTCTTCATTAGCCCAGGTTAGGAGCAGAACAGTAGGACGTTAAACTCCATTTAATTTCCACAAAGATTTGGATAATGACTTTGCTGGTAGCGAAATACGTTTTTAACAAACTGATCAAAAGAATAGGGTTATCTTTGTTTTCACGCGTATGTGTACAAAAATAGAAACAAAATCTGTCTCTCTCTGACTGTAACAATAAATCTTTTGATAAAAGCATTTGGTTAAGATGTTGGGCCATTTTTTTTATTTGTATGGAACAATATATAGACACATACACTTCTATATTTAATGGTATTGGGGGAGTATGGGGGATATGGGGGTGTCTTCCCGTTGTTCCAGCCAGGTGTCCCCTTGCTTGTGAGATGTAGGACGGAGGGCCTGTCAGAGGAAGAGCTATATAGTCGTTTGAATGGGTCCGTGTACTTATTGACGTGCATGTAAAAGAAACTCCACCGTCCATGGAAAATGATCCCCATATCACACTATATGACCTATGTCCCTCTTCATTAGCCCCGTTGGTACAGTAAAATATGACATTAAACCCCATTTTTACCAGTTAAAAGCGCAACCGCTGTTAAGAAAGACGTTCATAATAACATAATGTCATTTAAGGATAAGAAAGACGTTGTTTGCTCTTCCGGATGATTGTTTGGGTTTTTAACCACGGTACTAAATCAAAAGAGATCTAGGCCAGACTACCTTCAAAGAGCAAAGCCACAATTCGGAGCTCAAACTCCGTTTGAGACAATGTCAAATCGTAATCCTACGGATAGATCTATGGAACACACAGACTCCAGAAATCACACCTTCTTGGTGCTAGTTACGAAAGCAAATATACCATGGTATCTCATCCAGCTTTAAAATTTATCATCCGAAATCATATAGTTTTCTGGTGACTTACAAGTTACAACTTTATATACTGAATATTGTCTAATTCTATAGATAACCTATACGAAGTTCTTTAATGGGTGTAGACGTTTTTTCTGTTATGTATTTATACCAATGGGCTATAAATTTAGACCATACTTTTGTTGCAAAAATGTCTAACATAGTCAAAACGGAACATGCATATCAAACTAGCCTGCACAATATTATTTCGAGACTTACATGTTTAATAGAGTTAACGATGCAGAAATGAAATGGTGCCGTCGTGTCTTTGACATTAATATGTAGAAACTTGCTTATTGATAAAGGTGGTGGTGGGGGATGGGGTAGGTAAGCGAGTGGTCTAACGCTGTCATTGAGCCAAAGACCCTAAGCACAAATGTACCATTGATATCAAAATGCTACCTTATGTTAGTCCCGAAATAACCTAGTATGTGTTGGATCGACGTCAATACCCATTTCTTTCCCTCACTATCTGGTAATCTTTTGATTAACTGTGTAATAGTTCAGGACAAAGTTACAAAATATATCGAACATAATGCAAGCTGAAAATACAGCCCAAGGTAGGCTGCTAAGACAATATTAAAACTTGGAGTTAGTGCTACAGAAAATAAACAGAATCTTCGTGTCATTGGCAGCAACAACCTGTTTGACTAAATCTTTCTTGTACAGATATAATCTTTTATTTACACAATTGTTTACCCCTGGGATGTAACTATTTTACAAAAATTTCCCTTACAAAGGACTTTGATTCTTTAATCCCCGCCTTAAGGGACATGACGAGAGAGACCCAGGCGCTAATCCTTACAATCAACAAACAAGAAAGCTTTGTTAGAATATCTTTATACATGTTATTTGAAGTGTTAAATTTACTAATGAAGAGTAAAAAAGAGAAGAGTTTTATTTTCCAGACAAGTGTCGAGTTAGTTCTTTAATGGCATTTAATCGGTAAGATCTTGTATCAGATCTCGACTGTCAATACGTAGTTCAGTTTTCATGTTTCCGTAATTCTGTACCGTTCAGACGTTCTCTTATAACGCTGATTAAAGCTAAACAATGGATTTAAACTCATTATTAACAAAAATTTAGAAGCAGACAAAGCGAGATTTAAGCTGTTCTTAATAAAGGATAATTGTATTAAAATAAAAATATCTTTTAGATCTTTCTCTTTCGTGTCTTTAGATCTGCTTTAAGGAAAAACCGTTCTAAGAATTTTTTTTTAAAGACATGAAACAACTATTTAAAAACGAGTGCGCATTATAATCTTAAAAGACAACAGCGTCGTCTAACAAGTTTTGATTTTTAAGATGCTTTTCCTCAAAGCGATTATCGATTAATCAAAAGCTGGCATAACAATGACTATGTGTTAAAAATAGTTAGAAAGGATACCACAACTGGTGTTCTGAATCGATGCATTATGAGTTTTAATCTATGACGTATAGTACATGTTTTGAATTAAAATGCTAGAGGTGGTAGAATTCGGTGTTTTCGAATCGCTATTCAATACGCTTGTATTTCGTATTTAATTAACGCTACGTGTGCTGTTTTTATGTCATCATTAGGCTCTTGAAAGAAATTAAAACATCAAAGATTGGAGTTTCTGTATTTTACAGTTTTTATTTATATAAAGAATTCATAATTGATTTAGCATTTGCACATTTGTAGCCACATGTAACACACGTATTTGTTTTACAGTGTATCAAAAGCCTCATTGAATTTCTTATTCTTACTTTTAATGATTGCTTATTAATTACGCATTTGCCAATATATATAACAAATAATTTAAGCTCATTTTATTACACTTTGCTGCGTGATTTGATTCGAATTTTTTTTCGTAGCGTGAAGGTTTGAATCGATTCTGATACAATATTCTAAGAAAATGACATTGTGCGCATGCCACCTCGATGATGGTGCCACCTGAGAGACATACCTTAGTTAGTCGTTCTTTAAAAATCACAAAGAAGAATAATTCACGTCTTAATCTTACAAAAGGCCAAACGTGTAAAAGAAACTAAGCTATATTATTTCTGTGGTTGGGGTGGGGTGGGCTTTGAGTAGCATAATTCGGGTAGATTCTTCCTTACACTAATCGAAGAAAATGACAATGTGCGCATGTCATCTTGGAGTTTCTTCCATCCTG